GATCCCCTCAACACCTTGGCTGCGCCTAGAAATTCTGTCCATAAAAGTTATGAACAGAATCGTGACAAAGGGCAACCTTGGTGGAGTCCAACTCTCACTGGGACCAAGCCCGACTTACTGCTGGCAATGTGGACCAGGCTCTGACACCGGTCATACAGGGACCTAACAGCCCCTATCAAAGGACCTGGTACCCCATACTCCCAGAGTTTCCCCCACAGGGCTCCCCGAGGGACGCGGTCGAACGCCTTCTCCAAGTCCACAAAGCACATGTAGACTGGTTGGGCAAACTCCCATGCACCCTCCAGGACCCTGCTGAGGGTGTAGAGCTGGTCCAGTGTTCCATGACCAGGACGAAAACCGCACTGCTTCTCCTGAATCTGAGGTTCGACTATCCGATGGACCCTCCTCTCCAGAACCCCCGAATAGACCGTACCAGGGAGGCTTAAGAGCGTGATTCCCCTGTAGTTGGAACACACTCTACGGTCCCCCTTTTTAAATAGTGGGACCACCACCCCAGTCTGCCAATCCAGGGGAACTGCCCCCGATGTCCATACAATATTGCAGAGTTGTGTAAGCCAACACAACCTTACAACATCCAGAGCCTTAAGGAACTCCGGGTGAATCTCATCCACCCCTGGGGCCCTGCCACCAAGGAGCTTTTTATCCACCTCGGTGACCTCAACACCAGAGATTGGAGGGCCCGACCCAGAGTCCCTAGGCTCCACTTCCTCAGTGGAAGACGTGCCGGTGGGATTGAAGAGGTCTTCAAAGTATTCTGCCCACCGACCCACCACATCTCTAGTTGAGGTCAGCAGCACACCACCCCTACTATAAACAGTGTTGGTGGCGTACTGCATACTGCCCCCCCCCCCCCCCCCCCCCCCGAATCACCTCAAAGCTGTACGGAAGTCATTCTCCATGGCCTGTCATTCTCCATGGCCTCTCCGAACTCCTCCCATGCCCGACTTTTTGCCTCAGCAACCACCCGAGCTGCATGCTGCTTGGACTGCCTGTAAGCATCAGCTGCTTCCGGGGTCCCACAGGCCAAAAAGGCCCGATAGGACTCCTTCTTCAGCCTGATAGTATCCCTTTCTGCCAGTGTCCACCACCGGGTTCGAGGGTTACCGCTGCGACAGGCACTGACAACCTTGCGGCCACAGCTCCGATAAGCTGCCTCGACAATAGAGGCTGTCCCTCGCCTCCCCCAGAATGTGTTTGAAGCTCTCCTGGAGGTGGGAGTTAAAGCTCCGTCCCAGAGACCCAGGACATGCTGGAGGGACTATGTTTCTCAGCTGGCCTGGGAACGCCTTGGGATTCCCCTGGAGGAGCTGGCCCAAGTGGCTGTGGAGAGGGAAGTCTGGGCCTCCCTTCTTAAGCTGCTACCACTGTGACCCGACCCCGGATAAGCGGAAGAAAATGGATGAATGGATGTTTTTCATTTTGTTCAGCAGTTAAGCTGCTCTTCATACATCTTCTGCGTTTACTTCTTCTAAACGTCTCCTCTCCTGCCCGCCCACCTTCTTGAGAAGCAGAAGGAAGGGAGTGCAGCTGAGGGGCTGGGTTTGTGTTCAAGGAGGGGGGCCGCGTGGGAGAAAGAGACAGCAAGAGGATTTCCAAGTATAAAACTATATCATTTTATATCGATATAGTCTCAACTTATATCGGAAAAAAACAAATGCTATTGATATTTTTAAAATATCGAGATATCACCCAGCTCTACTGGTAACTCTAAATTGTCCCTAGGTGTGAGTGAGAGAGTGAATGGTTGTTTGTTTGTCTCATTTGTCTCTGTGTCCCTGTGATGGACTGGAGACCTGTCCAGGTGTCCCCCGCCTCTCGCACAGTGATGGCTGGACATGGGCACCAGTGACTCCCATGACCTGAAAAGGAAGAAGCGAATAAAGATAAAGGATGGATGGTGTCCCTCCCCCTGCTTCAGCTCCTGCGCTCCCATCTGTTACTGATTGTCTCTTCCCCAGGTGTTTGTCATTATCTGTTGTTAGCGTGTGTATAAGTCTTTGTCTCTGTGTTCTTCTTTGTCTGGGCATTGTCTGTTTCTGTCTCCCTTCATGTCTTTCCCAAGATCATATGGGTTGTTGCTGACACATCAGCCCTTTTTCCAACAATTTTCAGTCAGGTCATCTGGACAGTTTCTTTTTTTGCTGAAACGTTTCACCTTCCATCCAGAAGGCTTCATCAGTCAAGGAAACACACAACACAAAACTGATTCTTCCCCCAACCAGCTTACTCCAAAGTGGAACAAACCAGTTTTGTTAGTGCTAAGATGGTGTCTTTGGCGCGCCCCCTCCTGTGGTGCCGGCCCTCTTCCTCGTCGACAGTCATGTCAAACTGGTTCAAAACCAAAAAAGTCCATGCTCAATAATCCAGGTATACAGGTATCCAGGTTTTTTTTTTTTTTTTGATCAGCCCTTTTTGTTTACTCTAATAAAAAAAAACTTAAATTTAATCCTGAGTTCTCTGAGTCCTACCTGCAAATGGGTTCTACCAAACAGCAGAAACTCGACAGTGTTGACACAACTTAAAGAACCATTTTTAAACCAGATCTTGGATGTTGATGATGTTTCACTGGAGCCCCAGACACGAAGATCTGCAGCAGACAGTGTACAGGAAGTGTTTTTATACACGCTTATCAGCATGACGACCTCAGCTCACAGACTCGGAGGTGACCTTGGAGTACCAGCTGCACATGCAGCTCCTCTCTGAGGAAAACAACTCTCTGAACTCACAAACATGGTTCAACATTAAATGAATGTTAACGGTGATAAACGTCCATAAACCTTTAGCTAAATTTCCCTGATGATGCACCTCTCAGGTCCTTTTTCCATGTTATTACTTTGAGATATTGTTCATCTGCTGGAAACCTGTCATTATCAGGTCTAAGGACTGAAGATAAATAAATAAACAAATAACTTTAAAAGGTCAGAAGGTCTTATGACATTTTGCAACACCTTGCTGGTTCTGCAGCATCATCTTCAAGGACTTGTTCTAACCTGCCTTCTTTCTCCATGTTCTGGTTTTTCTCTTTCCCAGAGAGAACTTCCAGCGTCTGCAGCAGGACCTGGCCCACATGATCCTGGCGTGTCTGGAACGCCGCCCTCGAAGGTCAGTGAGGAGGAAGAGGACGTACCGGAGTGGAGGGAAGGCGGACGATGAAGACCAGGAGTCGGAGAGCGAGAGCAGCCACCCTGAGTACCTGCACCTGGCCACCGTGGACAACACCCTCAGCACCTTCCTGTAGGGGACAGTGTGAGGTCCTGCAGGGCTCTGTGCAGAGACCAGCCACAGAAGAACAGGACCTTCTCATCGTTTCCAACCTTCAACCTCAAACACAGACTTTGAAATATGTATATTTATCGTCAGCTTGTTACTTTCTATTATTGTTAAAGTTTCTATTTGAAGACGATGATCTCCATTAACCTTTCTTTGTGCACGTTTGTGTAGCTTATGCACACGTTGTTAAATCACATTGTTTTTTTGTGAATGCTTATTAAACATTCACACTATTGGGATCCTGTTTATACAGTATTTTTCTTATAGTTACCATACTTCTTTCATACGTTTTTTGGCATCTTCATCGTTCAACAGTTTTTGTTCTACTTCAATAAGTCATTTGTCAAAACATTCAGCTCTTTCAGGATAATCCTGCTATGATCTTTGATATTTGTGCAACTTTAGCTCTTTGAAACATTTAGCCTTTTCTGACATTTTTTCCTTATAGAAAATGAATTGACATCTTTTTAAATGGTTTATGGTTGGCCAGTTTAATGGTCTGGACACCTTGTAACAGGTGTTTATGCTAACCGTTCAAAGTTATGTAATAAATGTTGAGCGACCGCAATCAAAAGAATAATGCGAGTCCTTGGCAACGTCGTTATCCCCTCACTCGAATAAACACTCAAAAATTGGGTCAGTTAAAATCAGAATTTTGTGACGTTAATTTTCAGTTTGAATAATGATAATAAGCTCCACAAGGATCCATTTTGGGTCCACTATTGTTTTTCATATACATTAATGATCTACCAAAAGCATCTAGTATTCTGACACCGATCTTATTTGCTGATGACACCAATCTTTTTGTTGCTGATGGTAACTTTTGACTCACTTATTGATAAGGCAAATTATGGGCTCATTCAATTTGCTCAGTGGTTTCAGTTAAATAGACTATCACTTAATGTTAAAAACATCTAATTTCATCTTATTTAAGAATAAGAATAAAAATTACAATCCAGAAAAAAAACAAAATTTATATTAATAACAATTTACTTTCTAATGTTTCGTCAAAGTTTTTAGGTGTCTATATTGATGAGAAACTTTGTTTTAAGAATCGCTGTGAATCAGTGTATAAGAAGATTTCAAAATCGTTTGGTATTATATAAAAGGTTAAACCATATTTAAAAACAAGTACTTTATTGACTTTGTACAGTAGTTTAATTTATCCCTATATTTCTTACTGTAATTTAATTTGGGTTAGTACCTATCCTTCTTACTTGCAGTCAATCCATAAAGTTCAAAAATGTTTTGTAAGAATTGTCACTAACTCTCCGTATTTAGCTCCATCCACACCTCTCTTAAAAAAATGAGAAATTCTTACAATCTGTGATGTGAATAAGTATCAAACAGGAATCCTGATGTATAAAGTTAAATGTATTCCATTTTCTTCACCTAAATATTTTCATAATTTCTTTGAGTTTAATTCTTATTATCATTCATACTCTACAAGAAGGAGGGATGATTTACACATCCCCTTCTGTAGAACCACTGTTGCTAAATGTTCATCCATGCATCAGGTGTTGTGCTGTGGAACAGTTTAAAACAATTAGGTGAATCATGTACAACAATATCTGTATTTAAAAGAAAGTTTAAACAAACTTTATAGATTTTCTAACACATTCTTTTTTCTTGTTTTTTTAATTTATCATTTTAATATCTTTTGACAATTTAAATTTATTTAATATAAACTATTATCTTTTGCTTTGGTATGCAATTGTGTGTGTTTAAAGTAAGATGTAGCTTATGTATAAAGCATTTGATTTTTTTCTTTATTTTTTAGAAGGGGGGGAGGGGGCGCTTGTAAGATCAAATAGGGTTTTTATGACCTCTCCTGCACATTTTTTTTTTACTTTTCTTTTATGTGTGTTGTTTTTTTGTGTGCAAACAAATAAACAAATTATGGCAAATTTGAATGAATAACCAAATAGTGTTATTTCAAAAGGATAAATAGTATAAAATAACTTGAAACTTTGAGAAGAGGTATATTCAATTGAGGAGTAAAGTTTAGAATTTAGGTAAACTTGATCTCAGATTCATGAACTTCAATTATGTCTAAGAAAACTCTAGTTGGCACTTGTTCTTCGCATCAGCTGTTTTATTCTACCACAAAAGTTATCCATCTCCTCTCATTACCACTATGGATGTGATACGAAAGCTGGAGGTCCATGGAGCTGTTTTTTTGTTGTTGTTGCTACTTTGTTTTTTTCAGCTGATTTCCTCATTTTTGTGCTCATTTGTACTTTTTTCGACCTAATTCAGCAAATGTGTTCTTTCTGCTTTCTTCTGCTAGTTGAGGCTTGTTCTTCCAGTTCAGCTACATTTAGCATGCTTTGAGTTAATTTCAGCTGTTTTTCAGCAAGTTCTTCTGCAATAAGCATTCACACTGTATTTTTGCAGGAAATGCAATTTCTCTCTTTATATTTCAGATCCTTAAAGGGAAATAAGAGCCATTTTAAACACACGTCCCAAACCAAACAAATCTTTATTCTTGTAGGCAATGGTGACAAATCATCTAGTTAAAAAAAATAACTTCTGGTTTTGTTGTAGTGTTTTGCTCAGATCCTGATCAAACTTATTACTATCTATAAAAATCAAAACAGTTTTTTAAAACTCGTGTTACAATTCGTGTGTCACATGGTTTTATGTTAAGTACATGAACAGGTGACAAAAACCACTGACAGTGAGAACTGTGTCACTTATATCAGTCGTATACAGCTTAGATTTTTTTGCACAAAATAATAAAAATACACAGCTGGGTTGAGCTTTCTGCATCAAATGTGATGTGAAAACACTAAAGTACAGCAGAAACAGATCATAGTGAATTAAAACATCTTATTACACAGAAAACAGCATGTTCCACAAACCTTATAACTATTTATAAATTGTTTATAATATCGCAGTAAAAAAAATACACACAAATAAAAAAAACTAAAGTTTTCAAGAAGAAATGTTCAACAAATAATTTAAAACAAAATGTACAAACAAAATCAAGTTTATACGATTTGTTCAAGACGGTTTGGATGTACGAGCACAAAGCACTTTCCCTCAGAGCTGCTCGCCGTCCACGTTTGTTCCAACACCTTCAAACGAACGCACAGGAAGTAAAAACAGCACGTGAGCAGGACGGCGACCCAAACAGCAGCTTACAAAATGTCATGTGTATGAAAACAGTGCGGCGTCGGTCGGTTTTGCGGCTCGAACTCAAGGCACTGAATGATCCAAGTTCAAACAGCAGCAGTAACAAAAACGAGTCATTCTGATAAATACACAAGTTCAGGAAGAGGAACTCAACATTTACTGAGTACTGTTTATAATCCTATAGTTTCTAATCAACACGGTCAACCAGTCCTACACACAGACGTGCTATAAGCTCTACTTTAATTCTCGATCGTCTCTGGTCGGGTTCATTTCCTGGACGTTACAGCTTGACGTTCCTCGAGAGGAGCCAAACAACAGGAGGAGATCCTCTGACAGACAACACGTCGTCTCAGAGGGAAAAGATCACACCGCTCTGTTGTGGTAAACCTCACACGGATGAATCCAGAAACTGGACTTTAAATGTTAACCTGTACACAGTAGTTTAATTACTTAAATTGAATAATTAAGATGAGGACATTCTCCTAAAGCTGGTGTGACACCATCATCTAGCTCAGGCGTGTCCAAACTTGATCATCCTGCAGCTACTTTTAAAATGACCAGGTCAAAGTGATCACGAGAACCTCTGGAAACATTACTGGTTTTTTATGTTTATTGGGAGAAATAAACAAAAAAACGAGCGGGTTTATATGAAAACGTTATAGTTGCTCTGTCAGTTGGGTTGCCAGATAAGAAATTTTGAACTATAGTACTGTGGCTTTAAAATGAAAGTATTTTGACCTAACCTAACAAGGTTCAGTCAGGTCATCTGGATAGGTTTTTTTTTTTTGCTGAGACGTTTTGTCCTTCATCCAAAGGACTTCTTCAATCTGAGGAGCCACCAAACAAACTGATTCCCACGAACAGTATACACCAAAGTGGAATAAAAACAGTTTGCTGGTGCTAAGATGGCCTCCGGGGTCTGCCCTCTCCACCCTCAACTCCACTGAGACGGTCACACCAACGTGGATTATTGAGCATGAACTTCGGTGTTTCTGAACCACTTCGGCAGGACTGCCTCAGAGGAGTTAACGGTAGAGATGCAACAGGGTCCAAGAAAATCAGACCCGGCCACAGCCCGTAGGCATCATTTCCGAACCCCATCCAATCCAACTAATTAATAGTTAATTACAGGTCCAATCCCCCCCCCCCCCCCCCCCCCCAAAAAAAAAAATCTGACATTTTTAATTATTATGGATTATGGACCAGCCTGGCCCTAATCCAGGTCGGGCTCCAGGTTAGAAATGACAGCTCTAGATTACGGGGGAGAGGGCGGGCCCCGGAGGACATATTAGCACCAGCAAAATGTTTTTTTTTTCACTACAGAGTATGCTGTTTGTGGGAATCAGCTTGTTTTGGTGGCTCCTCAGATTGAAGAAGTCCTTTGGATGAAGGACGAAATGTCTCAGCAAATAAAGCAACCGTCCAGATGACCTGACTGAACATTGCTGGATTTTATACCTGGATTATTGAACATAAACTTTAGTATTTTGACCTAAACTGTCATATGCGCTGGTTGAACATGTGCACAGAAAAGGAAGGGGTACATAAAATTTTTTTAATTTATCTGGTAACCCTGATTGCCGGCTCAGCTGCATTCATTGTGCAATAAATAAATAAATAAATACATTTGTATGCATTGTTTATGATTGTCTATTGTTGTCTGCTGTTGTCATCACTCTTTGTTAAAATCAGGTCTCTCTTGTAAATGAGTCCCCGAGGCTCACTGAGACTAAGCTGTGTAAATAAAGGTTGAATGAATGAATGCAGCCTCTGATCACAAGATCCCAGTTAGTTCAACTGGTAAAACACACTACGTCTCTTTGGACCCTGGATTTTATTAGTTTTGCTCCAACATGTTGAAAAAGGGTGAATAGAACAAAAACTCTCTTCTCTCTGCCATTTATTAAAACTGTTGTTAGTTCTGAACTGAAGTATGTTTTTATTTAGATAATATATTAGCTTAATGAAATGTGTGGATATATGCATTTCTTTTTTTTTTTTTTATTTAGTATGATATCGTGTTATATCGTGTGTTTTTTCCCTCCCAGGCTCTCATCCAGGTGGCAGCTTCTGTTTCTCCTCCCCCCGTTTTTTTTCCTTCTTCCTGCTCTGCTCTCTGTGTGTCTGAAGCGCCTGGGTCTCATCTCCCGAACATAAATTAAGAAGATTATGGATTTGGTATCGTGGGCGTTCAACTCTATTGATAAGATTTTTTCATCAAAGCAACAAGGTCCTGGAGAACCGGCGTGTCCAGCTGAGACTCACACTGTGGGGTACGTCATGGATTCGTGGGGAGTGTGGCAATCGATGTGCAATACAGTTTTGTCTCAGGAGGATGTTGAAGACGTTTACATATTTGGATTTATGATAGCAGGGACTCTGCTTTTTGGCATCGGCGGGGCTCTGTTTTATCGACTTTTGAAGAAGACAGCGGGAGCAGTTTTGGCCATGGAAAAGCTTCCGACAAGTGTGAAGTTCTGGTCCTTGCTGTGGGAACTTTAAATCGTTTGGTCTACGAGCTTAACCGTAAGGTGGAGGCGATTAAGAATCGCAGACCACCTGCGACTTCTGGGACTCGTCAGCGTGGTGGGTTCGACCTTGAAGGAGACTCATAGCATGGATCAGTGGAATGGAATCTTAGGCATTTTCGCAACCAGAACGCCCAGATGGACTCAAGGCTGAAGGAAATGCTATGAAATCAGTTTCTGCAGCTATTTAAGCCTCGAGGAAGCTCCACCTTATCTTATGTTTGTTTATATGGTTAAAAAAAAAAAACAGGAACTTTTCCATCAAATCAAAACTGCACTAAGACAGAAAAGTCTAGAAAAAAAAACACAAAACGTGCACAATTATTGGGTAAATTATTATTTTCCACACATATTTCTAACGAACACTTAAATTCACAACTGTCAAGTATATCCATTAATGCACTACTACTTATGCACTTTTCACTTGTCACTTATGAACAGGTTCAGTTTAGATTTATGACAATTTACAAATGTGCACTGTTCAAGTGTTGTCATCGTGTTAGAGAGAGTAAATGTCGTAAATAAATTTTACATTAAACATAATCCAAGTTGAAGTGTTTAATCATTTTTAGCCCCTTTATGGCATCTGCATTTGGCAGCAGGCTAAAGTGACAAATATGCAGAATGATGTAGTATTTTAATTCCACAGCAGACAAAGTTATGTAGTCTCTGTAAGTCGGTCTAGGGAAAAAAAATATCAGTAATGGTATCAGTTATTGGCCAAATAAGGTTTAACATATCGATATATCAGATATCGGCCAAAAATCCAATATTGTGCATCCCTAAAAAACACACCAAACAAAATTAAAACTTCCTTTTCTAAAAAATAAAAAAAGAAGTTACATAACCTGAAGTCACAGCAGAAAATCTGTGTTAAATATCCAGAGTAACGTGGATTGGGTCTATTTTAGCCATTTAATGTTAGAAAAATGTTTTTTTTGTGTGTGTAAATGATTTGCTGTACTTTACAGAATATATTTTATGTTGCTACGTAGGAAAGCTGACTTTTTGTGTACTTGCTCTGAAAAAAATCCCTGAAAAGACTCATCTAAGACAATAAAGAAAATAAAACTTGAATTGACTGAGCTGATCATGGAAAGCACGATTTGCCTGATAATTGTGCACGTTGTTGTCGTACCACCAGTCTGATGTCACTGGGACTTGTGTCTTAACGGAAAAATGTACGTAACCCTCCTGATCTGATGAAAAGCCTCAACTAAACAGCAGCAAAACATAATCAAAGTGGTTATCCATGAAAAACGACGTGCAGAAACAGTAGAATAAACAAGTCCACCCTGTGACCCTTCAACCACATTTAGCAGAAGTAAAAGTCTTCTAAACATCCTGATCCGTGTTTTATGACCGTTTGAACGACGCTGCCTCGGTTCTTCTATGTTTAAGAGCTTTTGTTTTTGCAGAATTCCATTAAGGTCCCACCACAGCATTTTAAATAAACTGAAATCTGAACCAGTAAAAACTTTGACTCTTTAGATCAGTTGTAGATCTGCTGCTGGTTTCTGCTCCTACAGATGATCAATTAATCAATAATCTGATTGGCTGCTATTTAACCTCTTCATTCCCAGGACAGAGATATGGGCGCACGTTGTTTGTCACACACTGCTTCTACATTTTTTCTGTATTTCACTCACAGTGAATTTGTCTGGCTTACCTGATTAGAAACCTTTTGAGGACCAAATGACATCATCTAGTTTTCTGATAAAACATTTGACTTTAAAGTGGACATCCTTCATCGTTTTGTTTTATTTTTCTTTAACGTTTCGGAGATTGTGTCTGAGCCGAAGGACTGCCTCCGTCACTGGGATGAACGAGGATGACAGAGAACTGACAGCTGCCACGTTAGGAAATGTCACGATCCAGATGTTGAACGACACATGTGCATCTCTTCACACCATCTGTCAAATCAGAGTGACGTAGCGACAGCTCCGCTCTGGGTCTGCTGCGTTCAGTACCGCGAGTCTTTGGTGAGAATTTACTAAGCTCCACAGCTGCCTTGATACACATAAAACTACACGGAGAAGATGGATCGTATTGCTGCAGCTGAACGCGATCGTTTCATCATTTGGTAATCATTACTGACATCTTGTAGATAAACTGCTAATAACCGTATACATTTTGACGACGGCTCACTGATGCGACACACACGTACACGAAGTCACCAGCCTGGGAACAAGCAGTCTTGGTGCCTCTACATCCTGGACCCATGGATCTGGAAAAGCTGTGAAAGAACAACACACTTCAGTTTTGTTCCAATTGGATCAGCTGAACTAAAATATGTTTTTATTCATCATGCACAGTCTGAGCTGTGATTTGGCTGCAGTGATGATGATGATGGGTATGGTGTGAGGATGAGAGTAAATAACTGACAAAAAGACCAACGAGACATGTTTATAAACTGATCATCTCTGTAAGCTTGGGTCGTTTTGACTGGTTGTTCATTACGTTGTGTTTTAACAAGTTTATTTTAAAGACTGGGAGCATGACTGAAGACTACAAAGTCAATAGTTCATGTCCCAGATGCTGAAGCAGCATTTGAAGGGCTCTTATACATCAAACTGAAAATAGTTGGCACAAAAGACTCATCTGCTGCGACTCCATAAGATGTCCCAAAGAAAAAATAGCACTTGAACGCACCACGACGCCTCCCTGTTACCTCTGACGTGCAGTCTATAACTGCATGAGTGGATGTGAGCTTGGAGTAGGAGCTCATTTATAATTCAATGAAAACTATGTTTGTGTGCAGCGAGGTCAGCTTGAACCAAACCCCCGGGATTCAGCTAAAACTCACACTTCACTTCACCGTGTCATGCCTTAATGTTTTAATAAAACATCTGGAGCTGCATTAATAATCAGTAAATCAGAGTAATCTCTCTCTTTGACAGACTGGATCCAACATCGCTGCCTGGTGTATAAGAGTCCTGAAGGTATGCTGTGTTTCTACTGGACCTAGGATCAAGTACCATTTTCACCCACTGGACAAATGGTAAAATAAATATTCTCAAAGAAATAAACACCTAGGATTTATTTTGGAACCAAGGACATAGACAAATCCATCTGGAGACTGAAATGAAAATAAATTTTAATCTGTTTTAGAAGTGGAGTTCACGATGGACTGTCTGAACAGACCTACGTACAAAATGGACTGCTGTCTTCCAAAAACTCTCATTTTATCTGTTCTGTTCTCATCTGAGTGACAGGAGTTTTTGTGTTAAGGTTGGTAATAATTTATCTGCTTCAGTGCCTCTTTCCGGCGGGGTCCCGCAAGACTCGATTCTTGGACCCCTTTTGTTTTCATTGTATCTGCTCCCCTTGGGGTCTATCCTGAGGAAACGTCTTTTGTTTCATTGCTATGCTGATGATTGTCAGATTTATCTGCCCTTAAAATCAAATAGTTCATGCACAATTCACCCTCTGTTAAAATGTCTTGATGACATCAAGGCATGGATGTCTTCAAACTTTTTGTTTCGTAAATCAGAAAACTGCAGCCATTGTGTTAGCTCTAGCTCTACTGTTGTCTCAGTTCCTGTTAACCTCGACTCTCTTGAGCTTGACATTTGGCTTTTTCAGTCATGGGTCCTAAACTTTGGAACAATCTGCCCCTCAACATTAGACAGACCACTTCACTCCCCGTTTTTAAATCTCTCCTAAAAACACACCTGTTTTCACTAATGTTTAACACAGTGTGATATTTACTATTTCATTTTTCTCATTGTTTTGTGTTTTTATTTTTAATACTTTTAATTACATCTTATTATACATTTTTTCTTTAATTACTGCCTTGATCTTACTGTTATGCACTTTGGTAACAGCTGCTGTTTTAAATGTGCTTCATAAAGAAATTTGACTCGACTTAAAAACTGCATAGAGGTTCAGGAGGACGCTCTCCTCTGACAAAAGTATTAAACTGCTACTTCAGCAGAAATATTGTGAACTCAATGTTGGGGTTGACCCTGGGCTGTACTGAAAGTGGTACATGTCTCTGTTTCTAGGGCTCACACACACATACACAAGCACACATGCATGTATGCACACACAAAAAAAACCCACACTAAAATCTACTAAGATCTACCCACTATCACATCTTTAGCACAATTCCTCACCCACTCCCGCCTCTCTTGGGAACAAACATGACTCCCTCATTCCCTAAGCCATTCATTTGGTGTAGTTTCTCTCCCTCCCTCCTGCTCCTCATTCTCCTCCTCCTCCTCTTCCTCTTCCTTTGCTGCTTCCTCCTCTTGCATCTCCGCCGGCTTCATTCAGTATGAAGGAGGGATGGGAGGAAGGAAAGGGGAACACAAAGGAAAGAAAAGGAGCAAACAAGACAGAAAATAAAAAATGAAAGCGCTGATGAGCGTCAGAGTGATCAGTGAGATGTGAAACAGATAAACAGCAACGTATTCATGTGGCCGAGGACCCGGGGAGGCAGAGCTCTGTCAGCGATGGAGTGTGAGTGACATTTTGAGGCGAGTGACATTTGGAGCTTTTGGTGGAGGATCAAAGCGCACACACATCTACTCAAATGACAGGAGGCAGCTCACTTCTGTTCAACAACACACACAGCGAGGGCATTAAGTGTTCTGAAAGACATTTGCACGTGTGGAATATTTCACCTTGGTTTTGTGGCTCTGTTCTGTGCTCAGGCCCGATCCGGCCGTGTGAAGCTCCTTGGACACGACACACAGGAACTCAGCCTGGTCTTCGGTTCCATAGCTGTATGAGGAGCCGATGTTCACCATCTGAACAGGAGCCAGGAAGACGCCCAGAGACCAGAGACAAAGGAGGCGTCAGTAAGAATCCCATGTAACAGCAGAGAAAACAACAGGTGCTTAAAGAGCAGAGACTCGGTACAAAAACAAGAAACCATTTCTGTGCTCGTGCAAGGTTTAGTTTTGGGGAGGAGGTGAAGGGGGAGATAAAAAGCAGGTAGCTTATGATTCATGCAGCAGTGGCCTCTACAAGAACTACTGCTAGTCGAGTTTCATCTGGAGCTGTGCAGCATGCAGAGGAGCTGGGAGGCAAAGCAGAAGCCTGGAGGAGGGAAACACCTACGTGTTTTTACTCTGAAGTTTGTCTTTAGGCTATTAATTCTGAGAAGGCGTAAACAAGACGCTAAACTAGAGGAAATGCAGTTCCTGAGAAAATACAGCATGAATGCTTATTGCTTAAGAACTTGCTGAAAAACAGCAGAAATTAGCTAAAAACATGTTGAAGTGTAGCTGAAATGGAAGAACAAGCCTAAGTTAGAAGAAAAAATCAGAAAGAACACATATTTGCTGAAGAAGTTTTAAATAAGTAGAAATTATCACAAAAAATTGGAAATTAGCTAAAAAAAAAGGCTGAAATTAGCAACAAAAAAAGCTGAGAAGTAGCTGAAAAGGCAGAAAGAAACTTAAACTACTAGAAGGCAATGGAAAGAGCTAAAATGAGCTAGAAACGTGGAATTAGCTGAAAAAACTAAAAGAAAAAAAACAAACAGCTAAATAGTAGCTGAAACAGAAGAAAATGTTGAAATTAGCAGAAAAAAGCTGAAAGGAGCATAACAAGCTGAAATTAGCATGAAGAAGTTAGTTAGGCTGAAAGTAGCAGAAATTACCACCAAAAACTTGAATTTATCAGAAAGCAGCTGAAATTAGCTAAACCATGCTAAACAGTTAGCTGAAAAGGTAGAACAAGCTTAAATAAGCATAAGAAAGCAGAAATAAAGTGTTTACCCAATTAGGTTGAAAGAAGCACAAATAAATGAAAATTGTCTGAAAAAAGCTGAAATTAGCAAAATACAGTGGAAAAGTAGCTAAAAAAGCAAAAAGAAGCTTAAATTACCAAAAGAACATGGAGAAAACACATTTTTGCTGAATTAGGCTGAAAAGGTAGAAATGAGTGTGAAAAATGTGAAATTAGAATTAATGAATGCAAATCATTGAGGAAATGAGGGATTAATGAAAAAGCTAAAATTTGCACACACAAAAAAGAGCTAAATAGTAGTTGAAATCAGAAAAAGCTGAAACTTGCAGAAATAAACTGAAAGTAGCATAATAAGCTAAAATTAGCAGAAAGAGGGTAGAAGCACAAAAATGTTGTAGTTAGTAGAACGAATCTTAAAGAAGCACAAAACAGCTGAAAGTAGCTGAAAATAAGTTTCAGTTTGCAGAAGGATAGCTGTTTTATGCTAAGTTTAGCTTTTTCAGCCAATTCCACATTTTTACACTTATGTAAAAAAATTCTGCCTAATTCAGCAAAAATGTGCTCTCTCCACTTCCTTCTGGTAATTTAAGCTTCTTTCTGCTTTTTGGAGCTACTTTTCAGCTGTTTTTGTGTGTGCAAATTTCATCTTTTTTCAGATAATTTTCCCTTTTTTGTGCTCATTTCTGCTTCTTTCAGCCTATATTTGCAAACATAGGTTCATTCTGCTTTCTTCTAATTTAAGCTCGTCCTACCTTTTTAGCTAACTTTTAAAAAGTATTTTAAAACTTATTTCAGCTGTTTTCTGATAAATTTAAGTTTTCCCTGGAAATTTCTGCTACTTTCAGCCTAATTAACTTCTTTCTGCTCTTTCAGCTAGTTATGCTCCTTTCAGCCTAATTCTGCTAGTTTCAGTTATTTCAGCTACTTTTTACCGGTAGCTGTTTTATGCTAATTTTAGCTTTGTATTAGCTAATTCACCATTTTAGCACTTCTTTCAACTTTTTCAGCCTAATTCAGCAAAAATTTGCTCTCTCCACTTCTGGTAATTTAAGCTTCTTCAGCTGTTTTTTTCCCCCAGCTTTTTTAGACAATTTCCTAATTTTGGTGCTCATTTCTGCTTATTTAAACCAAAATCAGCTAATATGTGTTGTTTCTGCTTTCTTCTGCTAATTTAGGCTTGTTCTTTAATTTCTGCTACATTTCACCATGTTTTAGCTAATTTCAGCTGTTTTTCAGCAAGTTCTTCTGCAATAAGCACTCCCATTGCATTTTTGCAGGAAAAGCAATTTGTTTTCTGGTTCTAATCCCCGTCAGAGTTCAAGAGTCCTAATATTTTGAATCTTTTGCTACCTTTTTTATAAACAGCTCATGGAGGAGAAAGTGTTTATTCCCTTCATTGTTTCAGTTTTCTTGGTGATTATTTATACATGAAAAAGCCGCACTTTGTGTCTGCATGTGTGAAATATGACTGGTCCTGTGACTTGAGAACCACAGCTCTGTCATCCTTATTACTGGGTGTGCTCTTGTCTAAAGACCAGTTCGTTTCCTTTTGATATATTTTTTAACATACATGCTTTTATTGTTTGATTTGTATCTAAATTGAAGCACATGGAATCTTCTATAAGGAGACGGAGCAGACTTTCTAAATAGGATCAAATTTAGAATCACTAGTTGCCTAATTTCTTTTAGATGAGACAAACATGAAACACCCTGTCAAAATAAAAGGCCTGCTTGTTGGAAAAAAGCTAAAATGATTTAATGAGTTCCAGCTATTTTTTTTAATTTTGAAAGTTTATCATCAGGCTTCTGATCCAGCTGTTTATAGCTGGATGATGAACAGAGAACCCTGGTTTTAATAAAACAATCGATCGATAGCTTCGCTCTGTGTGACGACATTTAAAGGAAAACTAGCTTAAACGGGAAATTGTTGGAAAACCAATCACTGCTCAGAATGCTCTCGGCTGACAGGACCTCGTGCTTTAGGATTAAAGTGGTGACAGACTGGACATGGTGCGATTGACAGGTAGCTAGGTCTGGTTCTGGCAGTAGGGCAGACCGGTCATCAAATGGGGTGGAGAGACCAGAGGGGAACCCTGGAATAACCCAGCAGAGGAGCCCATGAGAAGAGCAACAGAGAGGAACCTGAAAGCAGGAAAGATGCTTCCTGTGCAACACTGGCACCAGACCCTCAACCAAAAACTGTCAGCAGCATTTAAAAATCAAACTATACACACAGTACACAAGGAACTTGTATTTAATTTGTTTAAATGAGCTGCATTTATGGGACACACTTCATTGTAAATATTGAGTTGATAAAAACATGTTGCTGTCAGAAGAAAGTGATCAGATCATTAATGTGGCAGATGTGCTGAGCAGTTAACAGGACAGGTCACTCAGACTGATTGATTTCATCTCAACTGCAGCTCATTAATGTTGTCGTAAAGGAGACTTGGGCTCAAAGAAATAGTAAACTGATGTTTCCACTGGAAAGGAATGGATCGTTAGGAAGGATGTCAATATTCATCCATTATCTTTACTCACTTCTTCCTTTTCGGTTCATAGGGGTCACTGGTGCTCATGTCCAGCAGTCACTGTGTGAGAGGCGGGGGACACCCTGGACAGGTCTCCTGTCCATCACAGGGACACACTAAGACAAACAACCATTCACTCTCACTCTCACCGAGAGACAATTTAGTTACCAGTCAGTCTAACATGCATGTTTTTGGTCTGTGGGAGGAAACCGGAGTATCTGGAGAAAACCCACGCAGCACGGAGAGAACATAAAACTCCACCCGCAAAGACCCCCAGCCGGGATTTTAACTGGCAACCTTCTCGCTGAGAGGAAACAGCTCTACCGACTGCACCACTGTGCCACGCGGACGTCAATATTTTACATTAAAACCACATTCTAGAATAACAACAAAGTCCATGCTCAATAATCCAGGAATACAATCCAACATTTTTCAGTCAGGTCACCTGGACAGTTTCTTTATTTTGTGCTGAAACGTTTCGCCTTCGATCCAGAAGGCTTCATCAGTCAACATTCTAGGATGTTCTTCCAAATTAAAAACCGTTTTGGTTATTTAAAACTAATTTAATCAGCATCGCAGTCAAGATATTAACATATTTAGAAGTATTGTGCTGTCGTTTGAAGTGGGGCTTCTAATTATTGCTTTTTTTATTCTTCTCCGTTTTCAGAGCACCAGAGCTGTTAATTGTTTAAAAAATAAAGATATCCTAGGAGGCAGATTATTAGGATTTTTATTTCATTCATTTTTATTTTATGCGATATCAAAAGTGGCCCTGAGTGTGTCATGTGGTAACTGGTGTGAAATGTTTGTACCGTAAACCTGTGGTCATTTTGCAGTCAGAAAATGAATGGTTATATTTAGAGGGACTACCTGGAGTTAACAGATTAAGTGCTATTTAAAGCTAAAGATTTAAACAAACGGCCGGATGTTTTTGGTTTTAAGTTTTGGTAGGACAGAGGGCAGGGTTTGAGTTGGGGCCAAGGGATCAGACCAGGGGTCAAAACTGAAGGGTCAGCAGCAGCGTGAGTCCAACCCACAGTCCAGAGCAGTCCGGTGCGGGGCTTTCTGCAGGCGCGCACGCTGACCTGCTCAAACTTCCAGCCATCCGACATCGTGGAGACCATCTGGGTCAGCTCCTCCTCCTGGCACTGCAGGACTCTGTAGACGTGCTTGGGGGGCACCTGCTGGAGAAAAACAGGAGAGTTGAGCAAATAAAAAAACACTTTAAAAACGACAAAAATTTTAGATTAAAAAAATAAATAACTTTTTCAGCTATTTTTTTTTTTGGAAGAAGCATCAGAGTGTTTTGCCCTTTATCAAATACAGGTAAAAAAAAATAAAACTGTAAAAACCCAGAAGAAGATGAGCTGATGAAGATGCTCAGCTCTTCTACTCTAATGTTTGCACTATATTTATCTCAAGGCACAGCAGTGAGTTTGTTCCAGTAAAATACACAAAGTGGGTGTTTGAGAGACCAGAGGCATTGTGTAGGAGTGAGTGGGAAAAGAGAAGAAAAAGATTTCTAAAGAACAGATTATTTGAGAATAATCTTGGTGAATATTTTATGCCGTTGGAGTTGCCTTTTTTGTGTAGATACAGCTTAAGAAATAGCATCAAGTTATTTTCTGTGACAGGCTGCTTGTGACAATGTTTAGATTAGTTTTTTTTACATTTGTATTAGGCAAATATTTTCTCTCGCATAAGTCTGGCACAAAATACGAATTATTTTAAGATAATATTGTATGGTGTTCCTCAAGGTTCAGTCTTCGGTGCTGTTTTGTTCCTGTTATACATCAGACCCCTTGGAAAGATTATCAGTAGCTTCAGTAATGTGTTTTACCATTTGTATGTTGATGACATTCAGCTGTACTCTTCCTTCTATGACTTGGAATTACACAAATTAGCTGAATTACTAAATTGTGTTTCCCATATTAAGGCATGGCTAGCTAACAACTGCCTTCAGTTAAATTCTAACAAGACTGAAACTCTGATCATTGCTCCTGAACAGAAAGTTCCTTGGATCAAGCAACACCTCAGTTCTCTGGGCTCCTCTTCTCAGCCGAGCCTCAGACACCTTGGTGTTCTGTTTGACCAGTCAATTTCTTTGGAAAAACAGTCAAGACTTCTGGGAAAACATTGCTTTTATCATTTGAGAAACATTTCTAAATTAAGGGCAAGGTTACCCAAATCTGACCTGGAGATGGTTATTCATGTTTTTATCTCTTCTTGTGTAGATTATTGTAATTCCCTTTTTACTCGTTTTAAAAAATCTGCTGTCTCTTGTCTACAGTTGGTCCAGAACGTTGCTGCAAGGCAACAGGAACGAATAGATGGTCACACATTACACCAGTTTTATCTTCTCTTCATTGGCTAGTTAGATTTAGATATAATTTTTAAATTTTAGTCTTGACTTTTAGAGCTTTAAATAGACAGGCCCCCCAATATATCACCGAAATGTCGATCCCTTATGCTCCAGCCCGCCCTTCAGTCTTCAGCGCTGAAACTCCTAAAGGTTCCCAAGACCCAGTTTAAAACTGGGGTTGACCGATCTTTTCAGGCCGTAGCCCCCAGACTGTGGCCTGCCCGGACCCTGTCTCTTCGTGTGACCCTCTCTGTTGATTCCTTTAAAAAGCAGCTCAAGACAGTTTTATTCAGACAAGCTTTTAGTTAAATGTTTTACTTTGTTTTTTATCCGCTTTTTTTACTGTTTTTATCGGCTGTTCTTACTGTTTTCATTGGCTGTTCTTACTGGTTTTATCTGC